GTGAGCCCGGAGCAGCCCCGCCGTTTTCTGGAAGCGCCTGCGGGCTCAGCCCCGGACCTTTTCAGTTGCTGTGGTCCCGCAGCGGTGGCGGAGGAGCTGCGTCAGGGCTGGAGTCTGTGAAGCGCCTGGGGACAGGCCGGGGGTGGGGGTGTGTGCCGGTGGGGCTGCCCGTCCTTAGCATCAGGGGTGGGCAGGACCCTGCTGGTTTCTTGGGACCCCCCTCCCTGTGTGCGCCTTTTCTGCGCGTTTTCACTGGTGGCGTCCACGTGCGCGTGGGTGTGATACCCAGCACAGAGAGGGGCGCCGTCCCGCTGGAAACCTGGCTCTCGGACGCTTCCTGCCTGAGGTGGAGGTTCCGAGGCCGCCTTGAGTAAATGTCCGGGCTGCTGTTGGCACTGGCGGGGTTGCTGTGCGGTGCCGGAGGAGGTGGAGGAGGAGAATGACTTCCCAAGTGGAAGATCCGTTGGAAGAATTCCAGGACTGCAGGGCCCCCCTGTTGGTTCTTGCCTCCTCCCATAGCGTATTTAATCCTGAAAACAGCCCTGCAGTAGGGTTTGTTATGTTTATTCTGATTCTCGAGAGGCTCAGAGTGTGTAAGTAACTTGCCCGACCACATACATTGGTTAAGGTCCTTCTTTTTTTCTTTTCTTTTCTAAGAGTCAGACAGATTTCATTTTATTTATTTTTATTTATTTATTTTATTGGCGTATAATTGCTTTACAATGTTGTGTTTCTGCTGTACAATGAAGTGAATCAGCTCTATGTATATATACATCCCCTCTCTCGGACCTCCCTCCCACCCCCCTCCCCCATCCCACCCATCTAGGTCATCACAGAGCACCGAGCGGAGTTCCCTGTGCTATACAGCAGGTTCCCACTAGCTAGCTATTTTACACATGGTAGTGTATTCATGTCAAATCTAATCTCCCGATTCATCCCACCCTCCCCTTCCCCCCACTGTGTCCACACTTCCATTCTCTATGTCTACGTCTCTATTCCTGCCCTGGAACTAGGTTCACCTGTACCATTTTTCTGGCTTCCACATACATGCGTTACTATACGATGTTTGTTTTCTTGCTGCTGCAGAGCGTGCTCTCCGTGACTCCTGGATGCCCAGACCTGCCCTCTGATGGGAGGTGTGGTCCTTAGCGACTAAGGGGCCCCCCACATCTGACCAGCATTCCTTGCATCTAAGCATGTCTGATACCTGCCCCTCCCCTCACTGCCCACAGGTTCCAGCCTTGAAATTCCCTGTTCCCCCAACCTCCCCAGAGGCTGCAGGCCTGTGTCCTCACTGCCCGTGGGCTGCCCACAGGTCACCCTTCCCCCTCCCTCGCCTCCTGCGCAGAAGTAACTGTTCCGTGTTGCTTCCCCTCTCGCGCTGTATCGTACCCCCGCTACAGGTAGGGCGGAAACAGCGACTCTGAGATTTCTTGATGGTGGAGGCTCTGCCTGAGGTCCTGGGGACGTGGAAGAATAACGCAAAATAGGTGTTCAGGAGATGGTTTTGGAATTAGGTTGAGCTGAGCTTTTAGATGTAAATTCTCCCTTCTTTTCTGATCTCTCGTCTTTAAGGTTTGAGAACGTTGGCAATAGGGTGAGAATTTTCCACACTCCAAACGGGTCTCGATGGTAAACAGTAAGACAGGTTTAATTTTTAACTCCAGATTTTAACTCCATGGTTGTGTACCACGAGCATATGGCTGGACATATCAAGACATCCATCCATGGAGTTCAAAATCGGGGCTCGTCCCCACCAGTGTGATTTGTGGAAGTGATGAGAGGCCTCCCCGCCAGGCCGAGGACCCCTGGCCCCGAGCTGATGGGGTGCTCGTGGGCGCCTTGTGGCCTGTCTCCTGGCCCCTGCTTCTAGGCGCCTCAGAAATGAGTCAGAACATGTGCGCGTGGGCTTGTGCGGGTGGCAGGGAGCCCAGAATTAGCTCAGTTGCTTCAGCAGGGCTGCCGAGGGGAGGGGGCGGCCGTGCCAGTCGGGGGCGGGAGGCAGGCGGCCCCCAGCCGCCGCGGGGGGGCGGGGGCATCGCTCTCAGGAGCCATCACGGGCCTGGAGCGGGGACAAGCCTGTCTATGCCTGGCACACGCCCCGTTGCAGACGAGCAGTGGGTCGGAGCAGCAGATCTGTGCAAGCACAGCTGGTGTGAGCCCAGCGCCTGAGACAGAGCGGGGGTCAGACGGGCACGGCCAGGTCGCCCCTGAGGAGCAGGTGGCAGACAGGAGTGGGCATCGCCATGCTCGCTGTTGACCTCCAGCCCAGAGCCTTTACCTGCCTGCAGCATACCTGGGCCACGTTGTACCCACCCCGCCCACCGCCTGACAGCACGGCCCCCTTCTCCATTTGTTGTTCTTTTACTCTTTGCAGACTGCCTTTTTGTTCGAAGGAATGAGCAGTTAGCATGGCTATTTCAATCAATTGCAAAACGCTGTGGTCTCCCTTGCCCCTTTCCCGCTCTCCCCAATCCCGGGCACAGGTGTGTCGTCCAGGACGCTGGTGGCTGTCACCAGAGGATACACTCCCGTCGCCAGTTAGGGCCAAACAAGGGGCGGGGAGGGGCCTGGCACGTGTGACACCACCGCATGAGTCAGCCAGCTGGGACAGTAAAACAGTTAAGCACACGTGTGTCAGTATTGTTCTCGAAAGAACATTTCTCCACTGTCACCTCTGCGGTTTTCCTGTTGCCATGTGAGACGCATGCGGGCAGAGCAATCGGTGTGCTTGGGGTTTCTGTGGGTTTAATCATGTGAACTGACGGTTTGGGGAAGAAAACAAAGCATGCACAGGTTTTCAGGGTGGCCCAGCTTTGAGGCTCAGCAGGTAATTTCTGCCTGGGAGTGCCGGCCTTGCCTTGGGCCCCAGCGCTTGGATTCAGGAGGCCACAGCGGGCCACCGGCACCCTGTCCCGCAGAGGCTCGGCGGCTCCCGTTCCTGCAGGTGCCTCCCCTTCTGGCCCTGCCATCGATCTGGGCATCCTCATGACGTTGAACACACCTGGACCTCTCACACTAAGGGGGCGGATGGTCATCTGTGGGAGTCTGAGAGCAGGGACTGCATCCTGTCAGCTTCATCCATCAGTGCCTGACCTCGTGCTCTGCCCACAGAGGCCCAGGACCCTCAGTCAGTGCTTGTGGGCCGGCACCTGGGGCTGCCGGGGGCATCTGTGCAAAGTGTCCCATAGTCTGGAGAAACCTCCCCATCTATAGAACCGTCTGTTTGTTTTTTCAAGTCACAGCTTGCACCCAGCAGTCTTATTTGGGCCCACCATTAACTGCGAGGTGGGCAGGGCCAGAATTAACATGCCCCTTTGAGGGACAAGGTACCACGGAGTATTAGGGACGTGCCTGTGTAGGAAGCAGAAGCACAGGCACTGTGGGTCTCCTGCCTCTCAGATAGGCACCCGGCCCAGGTGCCTGGCCTTGGGACAAGCCCCGCCTACCCCGCCCCGGCCCCACCCAGAGCTCTGGGTGTAAAAACTCCCTCGGCAAGCCCCGACCTGGGGGATCGTGGAGCACGAATAGTTCCAGAGTTTGGACAACTTCTGTATTTTCCAGAACCGGTAGCCGAGAAGAGCGAAGTAGTTTGCAGTAGGCTAAATGTTGGAAAAATTATTTGGGGAAGATTTTTTTTTTTTTTAATCCTAATCCAGGTTTATAATGCCTGGCCAGCAACATCGGTGTGATATTCGTCCCATAGCTGCTCTGTGCGACCACAGCTGCTGTGAGCCCAGCCTGCCTCAGGCCCGAGGGGTTAGACGTACACTGCTGTATCCTCCACTTCCTGGCAGCCATATGGGGTTGAAGACAACTTCTCAACCTTTCTTGAAAAATAAACAGTTTCTTAGATTTTTCTGGTTCTTTGTGTCCAGCAAGCTCACTGGAACCTGAGTCCTGAACACCCCTTTTGTCTGAGAGGTAATTGCATGCACCCTCGAGCCGAGCAGTTGACCTGTCTCACCTGATTTAATCTTCCTGTTATCCCGAGCGTAGGCGCAGTTATCAGCTGCACTTTGCAGAAAATCAAACGTGTGCACTGGGGACGGACCCCTGCCGGGGTCACCCTGTAAATGGGCCCAGGCCCGATGGCCTCTAAGCCCACACTCTGGTGGTGGGTGGGTGTGGGAGGGAAGCACACCTTAACCCTGACCCGTGTGGCTTCCAGGCTGCTCCTTGTTTGGGGAGAAGGGTTGTCATGTGAGCCAGAGCTGACTCTGGTTCTGGGGCGTCCTCGGAGCAGTGGTTTGGGAAGCAAAGAACTACTCAGAATGCATCCTCAGAGAAAATGCTGCCCTGCGCTGTTCGCAAAAGGTGTGCGGTGTGTCCTGCCTGAGGGTGGTCCTGACCCACAGCCTGTTGGCAAGAGGTCTCTGAAATCTGCTCCAGCAGGTGGAGCAGCTGCAGGAGGGGCTGGAGCCGCAGTGGGAGGTGGTGCCAGGCCGGTGGGCAGGGAACAGCATTCCCCCCTGCCCCCCATGCGATGCTGGGGAGAGAGGACACGATGACAAGACGGGCTTATTGCTGAAGCGTGTTTTATTAAGCCCGGAGGGTTGAGAACCTGCACGGAATGCAGGCATTTCCTCCTTCAGGATTCAGTTACCCCTTTTGAAAGCCGCCAGAGCCCTGATACCCGTTCATTTTACTGTCGTTGTCCCTCAGCCATATCGCTGCCCCTTTGTCATGCCCGCTGATGGGCTTTGGACCTGGGGACAGGCTCTGTGGGTTTGCAGGTGGCCCGGGAACAGGATTCCTCTGACCAAAAGGGAAGCAGGGAAACGAGCAGCTGGCCAGGTGGCTGGGGGCGCCCTAGCAGGTGGAGCGTTCGGTGCCAGGTCCATGCTCCCCCGGGGGAAACCGGCTCAGCCTGGCATCAGATTGCAGTGGGCCTTTGCAGGTCAGAGCAGGAATAAGTGGGAGGGAGGCGGCTTCCTCGTGCACGGCTGCTGTTTGCTCGTGTCACGCAGCCTGACAGCTCATTTCCTTTGCATCCGCAGATTTCCTGAACAGTGGTTTGATGACAGTTGCCTGGGTCCAAATTGCATGGAAACATTCTGAACCTCCTCTGGGATCCTGTATCTAAGAATCATGACTGCTTTCTCAGACATTTAATAGGAATTCTTCCATACCTGCCCACCTCTTCTTATGAGCGGTAGCTCTTACATCACACAGCTGCTACATGTAAATCAGCAGACAATTGAACCAAATAAAGAAAATAACCTCATGAACAAGAAAGCCCCCCCTGAGAAGCCCAGGGAACCTAATGGGAATATTGTACGGGAAATGTAAGCATTTGCTACTGCCGTCTAGGGCTCTGGAAAATATGAATTTCGTGGCGTGCGCAGAAACCTTACACAGAAATTGCCTGACAGCCCTCCTCCAATCTCTTATGAAACTTTGCCGGAGAGTTCTCACAGGGTCTCTGAGGGAGCAGAGTTTCTGAAATGCTGATTCACTGTGTGAGGCTTAAAATCAGGACGTCTTTGTACAGCCCCTGCTATTAGCGTCTGCGTTATACTTTTAAAGATAGGGTTAGGGAAGTTTTGGGCAGTGAGCTTCCTCTGTGTAGACCTCTGAACCTTTAGGATTCTTCTGGCTGGTTCTGCAAATAGAGACTCAGTCCAGGCTGAGAGAAGACAGGTGAGGTGTAAATGCCATTCACTTCCGCACACATGGACTTGCAATGGAAATTGTGATGTTCAGGCCGCCTCTCAAGTGGATTCTGGACGTTGCTGCTCTCCTGCAGCGGTGCCGGGGTGTGGAGGGGCTGGAGGGAAGGTCCTTGGATCTGTGAGCCACCAGACACCCAAGCCTCGGTCTGTTGTCCGGGGCAAATGGCAGCTTGTCCCAGGGAAGGGAGGGGTAGGCTCTTTCACGTACTTATCTGCCTGGGAGACATTCACAGCGATAGGGTGAGTTTGAGTTCGGGTTTTTCTTTGGGCTGATAACATCTTCCTGTTCCCTGACAGGCTGTTAGCGTGACAAGCCGTCCACAGGCTGTGGGTGGGAGAAACCGTGGCGTCGTATAGCTGGGTGCTCCCCCTGATCCAGATCCCCATTTGTAGCGAGGGGTGGGCATTTGCTAAGAAAATAACTGTTGTTGGAGGGTTGACTTGGTCCTGCATTTGCGAGAGTAACAGCGTGTGACCCGTTTGCTGCCCCACAGCTGAAGATTTGGAAGTGTCTAAATGAGACCCAATGCTTGAGGGTGACCTCAGAGCTCCCCAGGTCACACACTTGGGTTCCTCTGCCCTTGTGGCTGGTTTCCCAGATGAGATGGCCCGTCAGTCCACTGGTTACAGCTGCGAATGGGAAAGGAGCACTGCCAGCTCCTGCTCTGGCTGTGGCTGAGCTCAACCAGAAGAACTATGGAAGGAGGTCCTTTTATTCCAGGCTTCCAAACTGCAGGTCTCTACTTGGTGTCAGAGATGAGAACCGGCCTCATGTTCCCATGGGTTTATCTGAAAGTACATTTTACTCGTGATGCCTTGCCGGATTTGCATAGGTGTTTAACAGGTGTCAAAGCATTCGCGTTTTCTGCTCCAAGAAAAGCTCCATCATCAGTCTTTTTTTATGTGGTCTTAGGGTAGGTAGTTCATTTTGCAGTTTCTTCCATACAGCAGCCAGAGTCAGAATATAATCAGACTTCCAACCCCAGCCACAGTGGGATAGTAATTGCTGGATTTCCTCTTTTTCCAACAATTTTGATACAGGGCAAAATATATGAAGCAACTGTTTTCAGGGATGGAACAATGTTCAGTGGTCTGTGATCCAAATGGAAGCGTGTGAGGCACGTTCCACATCCATCCTGGCTTTCTGTGGGGGAGTGCCTTCAAAACCAACACACAGGGCTTCCCTGGTGGCGCAATGATTGAGAGTCCGCCTGCCGATGCAGGGGACACGGGTTCGTGCCCCGGTCTGGGAAGATCCCACATGCCGCAGAGCGGCTGGGCCCGTGAGCCATGGCCGCTGAGCCTGCGTGTCCGGAGCCTGTGCTCCATAATGGGAGAGGCCACAGCAGTGAGAGGCCCGTGTACCGCAAAAACACAAAACAAAAAAACCAAGACACAGGGGAGCAGAGACCAACAGAGAGATGGGCAGAGGAAACAGAGGTCAGAATTTGGGGGTGCTGAGGCATCCGGAATTTGTGGGGCACAGTGTACTGGAGACGAAGCTTCTGAAATCTTCAAAGTGGTCGCCTAGTCTTGCACAATACTAAGTTGTGTTTACACAGGACAGGGCTCCTTGAGGCTCAGAAAAGAACAACTACTAAGGAGCAAGTAGTGAGCTAAAACAAAGATTCTGGAGGTGACACAGTGCTGAGAGACAGAGCTCTAACCTGCCAGAGTGAGGAGCTCTTACTGAACAACTGAGGCCACAGAAAGGCCACACCTTAGGAATAGGGTTTCTTTAATCTGGAGTAAGGACCACGCTAAACCCACAATAACAAGACCTAAAAACAAGCCTCATTAGGATCAGGATGATATGCCAGTCAACTGACTGTCTGCCAGAATCAAACTCAACACTATTTAAACGAAGTGTTATCTACAATGTCCAGCATACAATAAAAACATCACTAGACACGTAAACAGTGTGACCAGGAACAAAGAGAAAAAGGTCACGAGATACACCCCCATAGAAACATAATGAGCAAGCAGATGGGAATTTCAGTAGAGAAATGGAAATTTAAGAAACAACCAAACAGAAATTCTACAACTGAAAAATACAGTATCTGAAATGAAAAATTCACTAGATGATTCAACAGCAGTTTGGGCACTACAGAAGAAAATATCAGTGAACGTGAAGGTCAATAGAAACCATTCAAGCTGAAGCACAGAGTAAAAAAAAAAATTGAAAAAAAATGACCAGAGCCTCAATGTCACGTGAGAGATAATATCGAGTAGTCTAACGTCTGTGTAATTGGAGTTCTAGAAGGAGAAAGATTGGGCCAGAAAAACATTTGAGGAAATGTCCTCAAATTTGATGAAAAAAATCTCAACATACAGATGTTAGAATTTCAAGTAACCCAAGCAGGGTAAACCCAGAGAAAACCTCACCTAGGCTCACCGGAATTAGATTGCTGAAAACAAAAGATGAAAAGCAGCCGGAAGAAAAGAGATACACAGTTGACCCTTAAACAATGTGAGCTTGAACTGTGTGTGTCCATTTATACCCTGATATTTTTAAATAGTAACTACTACATACGTGGCCCGTGGCTGGTTGAATCCGTGGATACATGGCTATGGAAGGCTGACTCTAAGTTATACACAGATGAACCCCCACGTTGTTCAGGGGTCAACTGTGTTACACATAGGGTGACACAAACAAGGATATAGTTGACTTCTTACCGAAAGCAATGCAAACTAGAAGACCTGGAATGCCATCTTTAAAGTTCTGGAAAAAAAATTATCTTTCAAAAATAAATGTGAAACAAAGACATTTTCAGATTGACAAGAGTTGAGAGAAATTGTTCCCTGCAGACTTACAGTGCAGGAGTCATTAAAGGAAAGTCTTCAGCCTGGAGGGAAATGCCACCAGATGGAATATAGATGCATATAAAGGAATGAAAAGTGCCAGAAATGGGAACTATGTGGTAAATATAAAAGAATTTGTTTTCCCAGTTTAAAATTTCTTTAAAAGACAATTGATGGTTTACTCTATGACATAAATCACAGAAAGATCCTTTTTGACCCACCTCCTAGACAAATGGAAATAAAAACAAAAATAAACAAATGGGACCTAATGAAACTTCAAAGCTTTTGCATAGCACAGGAAACCATAAACAAGACGAAAAGACAGTGCTTAGAATGGGAGAAAATATTTGCCAATGAAGCAACTGACAGAGGATTCATCTCCAGAATTTACAAGCAGCTCATGGACTCAATATCAAAAAAACAAACAACCCAATCCAAAAATGGGCAGAAGACCTAAATAGACATTTCTCCAAAGAAGATATACAGATTGCCAACAAACACATGAAAGAATGCTCAACATCTAATTATTAGAGAAATGCAAATCAAAACTACAATGAGGTATCACCACACACCCTTCAGAATGGCCATCATCAAAAAATCTACAAACAATAAATGCTGGAGAGGGTGTGGAGAAAAGGGAACCGTCTTGCACTGTTGGTGGGAATGTAAATTGATACAGCCACTATGGAGAACAGTATGGAGGTTCCTTAAAAAACTAAAAATAGAACTACCATGTGACCTAGCAATCCCACTACTGGGCATATACCCTGAGAAAACCATAATTCAAAAAGAGTCATGTACCACAGTGTTCACTGAAGCTCAATTTACAATAGCCAGGACATGGAAGCAACCCAAGTGTCCATCAACAGATGAAAGGATAAAGAAGATATGGCACATATATACAGTGGAATATTACTCAGTCATAACAAGAAATGAAATTGGGCTTCCCTGGTGGCACAGTGGTTGAGAGTCCGCCTGCCGATGCAAGGGACACGGGTTCGTGCCCCGGTCTGGGAAGACCCCACATGCCGCAGAGCCGCTGGGCCCGTGAGCCATGGCCGCTGAGCCTGCGCGTCCGGAGCCTGTGCTCCGCAACGGGAGAGGCCACAACAGTGAGAGGCCTGCATACCGCAAAAAAAAAAAAAAAAAAGAAATGAAATTGAGTTATTTGTAATGAGGTGGATGGACCTAGAGTCTGTCATATAGAGTGAAGTAAGTCAGAAAGAGAAAAACAAATACCGTATGCTAACACATATATATGGAATCTAAGAAAAAAAATGGTTCTGCAGAACCTAGGGGCAGGACAGGAATAAAGACACAGACGTAGAGAATGGACTTGAGGACATGGAGAGGGGGAAGGGTAAGCTGGGACGAAGTGAGAGAGTGGCATGGACATATTTACACTACCAAATGTAAAACAGATAGCTAGTGGGAAGCAGCTGCATAGTACAGGGAGATCAGCTCAGTGCCTTGTGACCACCTAGAGGGGTGGGATAGGGAGGGTGGGAGGGAGACGCAAGAGGGAGGGGATATGGGGATATATGTATATGTATTGCTGATTCACTTTGTTATACGGCAGAAACTAACACAACATTTGTAAAGCAATTATGCTCCAATAAAGATGTTAAAAAAAAAGACAATTGATGGTTTAAAGCAAAAATAATAGCAGTTTTACTGAGGAGTTTCTAATACATGTAACAGTAAAAAGTATCACCAAAAAGAAGAGGAGGGTAAATGAAAGAATACAGACCAGGAATAGAGAAAAACCAGTAAAAACAAAAGTTGGTTCTATAAAAGATGAGTGAAATTGA